TTTTGGATGTTGTTTATCATACATTCGTTGATATGGCAACTCTCCAACTACACGTATGCAAAATCCTTTGTGAACGCTACTCAAACTATTGTCCAAGAAACCGCAATCATGCTTCAGAGGTTGAGTTACTGTAGCAACGCGTGTGTTTATATGTTGACACAGAGTAAGTTCAGAGAAGAGCTAAGAAAGCTGATTCAATATCCATTTACATTATGCTTCAAATTATTCACGTAACCTAATTGAAATAATAAAATAATAACTTTCCAAATTTTTATCTAACATCTGGCAACACGTTTCTGCAACTAATCTTTGCTCCCACCTTCCCTTCCAATCCCTGTTCCATCTCTTCAGTCTGGTATCCTTGTTGTCCACAGCAACGGTACGACCCTTGTCAAAGTTACCGGTGAGGCGGTCTCCGTCGTTGCCTATGTCTCCGTCTACCTCCTGGTCATTCTGAATTCTTGTCGCCTGGACCACTATGGACCATTCTATCTTCCTCCACTGCGCTTGGTCCTTTATCGACCTTTACAAGATTGCGTCTCTGAATTGCGATCGATTCTGTGTAGTGCTGTATGGTATTGTTTAGAAAGCTATCCTCACAAACGAGAGCACTGGGGTAAATTCCCAGGAAGGGCGATAACTTGGCCATGTTTCCTTATGCCACAAACACTATGTAAGTTGAGGGATATATGCATATATATATGCAGCTCGCTTTTCCGGAGTTAAAATATATATTTTTAAATAATATTAACTTGTTCACTGAATCCACGATTCTGTTTGATAGTGCTGTGTGCAAATTGCTGCCACGTTTCATTCACATAAAATACAGTCAATTCACTTTAAAATATATTCTGTAAAGCGGTTTGTGGCATTTTGAAGACCTGATCAGGCGCTATTTCAAATGCAAACGTGAGTTTTTTTAGCAGTGGCCCACTAGCTCTACGAGCTCATTGCCAATGGTTTCTCCTCTGATTGTCATTTGTTAACCTGCGGTGCAACTCCTATCTCTGTCCTTAGCCCCTCCTTCATTTCATCAAGACATTTCCTCTCAGTGACACCAACTGAAGTAATGCAGATTAATTCCACATGTCTATTGATTATACCACATTTACGTTTCCACTCCACGGCAATGCTTATGACAACCCAGCTCAGAATGACTCATCAGCTGCAACTGTAAGGCAGAACAGTAACTGTGGGGCAGGGACTCATCCCACTATCAAGCCAAGGCCAGAACTGCTAGGATGGCCCCAGCTGGACAAGCAGCGGAAATCTGTCCAGACATCGGTATCAATTATGTGGTGTAGTATGGTTAGACTCCGGCAGTAACAAAACAGACACTCTGACGTCCGAAAGAATTAGCCAACTTGCGACTAATATGTCTGGAACTCGGTAACAGGATGTGTCGCTCAAAATATAATCTCTACAATTTCAATAAACGAGAAAACGACTTAAATGTCATAAGTATTCAAAGTGAATGTGGTTCCCTATATGGGAATATAGTGTTGCTCCTGTTACTGTGTACTTGTGTCCTGTGAAATCTTGCAGATCCGACCCTCTGTCTGTCCCAATTACCTCCAATGTCATTCTTTTACACCGAGAGTTGACCACCTTTGTCAATACATCGCTTCATAACCTCTTAAAACCCTCCCTCAGTCCTTCTATCTTGTTAACATCCCAGCTTGAATCCAACTTTCCTGGCCATGGTTATGGTGCAGTCTATTTTTCCAGTTTTCTCTTTCCTTTCCGAGTAAGTATTCTGAATTTAAATAAAGCTAACTTTGTAAGTATGAGGAAAGGTTTAGTTAAAAGAAGCTGGAGAATAAGATTAAGAGGTAAAAATGTAGACCAACAGTGGCTAATATTTGAGGATTTAGTGCAAAATTCTCAGCGGTCTCATATTCCTTTTCAGACTAAGAGGACCACAGGGAAAGGAATTAATCCGTGGCGAACTAGAGCAGTTAGGGAAAGCATCAAATTATAAGAAAAGGCTTATAAAACTGCCAAGAAAAGCAGCAAATCTGAAGATTGGGAGAGTTGTAGAAACAGTAAAAAAAACGATTAGGAGCGAAAAAAAGGTGTATGAGTGTAAGATAGCCCGGAACATTCAGTCTGATTGTAAATGTTTTTCCAAATATTTTATGAGGAACAGGCTCGTGAATGTCAATGTAGGTTCACTTCAATAAGAGACGGAAGAAGTTGTAATGCGGAATAAGGACATGGCAGAGTCCCTGAATGGATAATTTTGCACCTGCCTTCACCCTAGAAGACACAACAAGTCTGCCAAAAATAGAGAGTACCAACGGGTACCCCCAACGGGTACGCTCAATCCTAGAAAATATTCAAGACTGAGACAGATAGATTTCTTATTGCAAAAGGGGTTAAGGGATATGGGGATTAGGCAGGGTCAGGTTATTAGCTGGAGTTAGATTAGAAGATCAGTCATGATTGAATGGCGGGCAGACTCGAAGAGGCGTATGGCCTACTCCTGCTCCTACATGTTATGTTATGTTAAAGCTCGTTTATTATAAGCAGATATTTTTGTCCTTTGCGATACCGGAGGAAATTGGTTTCTCCAGACACAGTATCTGTCATGTCAAAATGTGATCACATTGACAAAAGGTTATCTTTGCAAATTTTTCCCAAATTTAAGAGGTCGTCTGGGTTTGATCCAAGGTCCGCTTGTTGTGCGCTTAATGATTCTACATTGAGCAACCTCGCCGCCACCATCTGAACACTGCTCTGTGATAAGAATGCATCAGCATAACATGTCCTGTCAATGAAGGTATATACAAAACTGAAATGTTGTTGACCAGATTCTTCTTTCACCTGATGGCATTCTCTCACAATTTGTTCTTAGGCTTCAGTCAACACAATCCCACTGATGGTTGGTTGCTTCTCAGGGATAAAAACAGCCGAATGCTCCCTGCAGTTGTTCATAAATGAATTGGAACTTTCCAGTTTTAAGCGACAATAACAATGTTTGTATTAATATAGCTGACGCGGACGGGTCAAACCGGTCCACATAGCCTAAGAGACTCTAAAACCCGACTTAATCCACAAAGAAGCATGGGTAACTATTGTGAAGGAAATCAACAATCGGCCCTGTATTATGAAGACAGACACTTGTTGACAAGGAAACAAACCAAACTTGTAATGTCCCAGACATCAGAATTTCGGAGCATAGGCTCCGAAGGCATGTCCACCTGTGGTGGAGCGGATGAACGAGCGATGAATAAAAGGCTGGAGCTAGTCGAGGGGAGGCAGTGGGTGGTGGAATTGGGGTTGAACAGATTGAATTCCTGCGAGAGCATGAAGTAACAACCAGCTTTGCATCTTGCCATCATGCAGTGACTATAACAGCAGAAGAACCAATATTTTTCATGTTCGGTTATTCAGCAAGGCACCGCTGGGATTTGAACCAAGCATCTCCAGTTTACAAGAAGGTGCTTTGCCACAACATTTTTTTGAAGAACAAAATAGCGGCTTTTATTTGGAAGCACTTCTCAAAAATATTTGTATGACAAGAATCAAAAATGACATTCTGCGCAATTGTTTATTACGTGAGCTGCTGTTTCAGCTCTTTTCAAATGTTTTCATGTCCTACAAATCAAACACATGATCTGCGTTATTGACAGGTGCAAAGTTCATCCGTTAATAAAAGAGCCTGAGCTGTCCTTATTCAAAACGAATACAATTTAAACTCGGACTGAAAATTTAAACTCGAGCTTAATCGCGAACTTAAAATTTCAACGTGTCAGCCTTTGACGTGCTATACATAATTGGAAGTTAGAATTGTTGTTGTTGATGTTGGAAACTGAACTTATAAGATGAACTAAAGAACATTTTAAAAGCAGCTCCAGTGGTGCAACAGTTTATTCCGTGGTATTTATATGACAGTACTTTTTCGAGAAATGACAAGGTTGTGAGTTCGATCCTCAGCGAGAGCAGTATTTTTCATTGGTTTCTGCAAGTTGCATCACTGAACCCAATGGTAGTCGCAGACTAATGCTTTTGTGGATTTGTTACGGCCTTGGTCAGTGCGATGATCTACCGAACCCAACATTTTGCCAATGTCATCAATTGAAACTGGCGAAGTGGACGAATGAATCGTCAGTCGATGAATACGATTTTGGCTTCTATATTGGCACCTGGTCCAGATGGACAGCATCCAAAGATCCTTAGGGAAACTAGGAACGAGAGACCTACTGCTCCAGTCTCGTATATATGTTTGCGAAATCTGTGCAGAAATAAATCTTTCAGTTATTGATTGGAGTCATCATTTTCTTTTAAAATAATTTAGTATTTATTATTATTTATTTTCTTAATCGAAATACAATCATCCAAACCTAAATACACTACATCCACTGATTCCCTCCTATCTCATCAACTTGATATGTTCTGAACATATATAAAAAATTGTTAAGCATGACTTCACTTTTGTAAAGCCATTTTGACTATGTCTAATAATATTGTGATCTTCCAAGTGTCCCACTACGACATCCTTAATTAAGGTTTCGAATTTTGCCTACCAACGATATCAGACTAACTTTACAGGTGAGGACCAAGATTTTGTACTGGATCCTCTGAAGGAAAAGGGAACAAATGTTGTCGGGTAAGAATGGGGGAGATGGGGTCACGGTGTTTGGTGCGGGAGAGGACACGGGATATTAGGACTTGGGAAGGCCGACAAGCAGGGCGCATATAAATGCAAGTTGTTTGGGTGATTGTCTCATAGGTTTCGAATGGTGTTGGATCCTGCGACGGGAAGGTGTTGTGACAAAGTAAACTGGGCTGTCTCTGAAGAGGGCAACATTTTTCAAAATATCAGCAGTGGGATTTGAACCCACGCCTTCATCACCACACGTGGTTCCAATATTGTGACCAAAATTTACAATGATTTCTTATCATCCCTTTTTATCCTACAGCTGTCGATAGCCCAATGACAGCATGATGGTATCCAATCAGCTGCTTCTTTTGTGTGGTGTCCATCATGCAATTGTGTCAGGATGGCCGAACGGTCTAAGGCGCTGCGATGAGGTCGCAGCCTCCATTGGAGCCGTGGGTTCGACTCCCACTTCTGACAGATTGAAATTTTTTTGCCCTCTACAGAGACAGTCCATTTTAACTTGTTACAGATCCCTTGCAATTGAATCAAACACACAGAAGCAAACGCCAATACTCATTTCAACTGCTGAGTTGAACAACCTCTTCCTATTTCATTTGATTTTAGTGTAGCAACTGCCGCCGCGCCCCCCACACCCTCCGCCCACTCCCAGCCGAAAGCAAAATGCATGTGTTGCTTCTGCAAAGAAACAGTGGCAGCAAATGAATCATATGGTTATTTGCCACTGCTCGACCAGGTGAAATGTATTGGACAAATTATAAGGGGCACTCCTCACATTGGTCTGCGCAACTGTATCAAAAGAATGCAAGAGCTATGGGACGATTTATTTTTCAGTCTGATTATAATGGTTTGAATGTGGATTTCAACAAATTGTGTGGAAGATGAATTCGACAATCTTGGTTTTACCCGTTTGTACAGTTTTGTAGCATCTATCGATTAATTGCGGCTGATTTACGCTACAAAGAAAAGCGGATAGGAATAGAAATACATATAGAATATCTACATTCAATTGTCGCATAAAAGTTATAATTATTCGTGCAAGATACAGCTGCACACACACAGACAGTGGAGGTGTTAATATAATTTACACAAGGAGGTCACTGTTCCTTCACCTGATCATATTCTCTCACAGATTAGCCTAACTGCTTACCAAAATGCAACCATTCCTGCCTCCTGTCCTGAAATATTACCGCTGCCTTCTCTTCTATCAATGGCTTTCCGGATCCTCTCACTGCTGGCCCTTCCCACAGAATCTCCCTGTTCCATCCTGAGAATCCTTGGTCGGGCTCGTGGTGGTACATGTTATTAGTGCTCTAACAGCAGCCGCTCTGATAGCCTTTTCCCCACACAAGGGTAACATAAACAAACGTTCGAACATCCACTACCCTCTCCTGCAAACTCTATTTCTGCAGGACCCTTCGACATCGTCCTGCAAACTGTCCGCTCCCTCTGCAAAAGAGCCCTCACCATCATGGAGAGAGACATGTTATTGTGTTGTCCATACGCCGCCATTTGTCTAATTCCGTGTTCCTGTCTCGGTTTACAGTGATCTGGTTAGAAGACGCCTTGAATGCTGCATATAGTTCTGGTCACCGGTACATGATTTGGCAGCCAAGCCCTATAGATGGTGGAAAGGACAGCAAAGAATTTAATTCCCAGTCTTTGCGGAATGAGCAGTAAGTAATTATTAGACAAGCAAATACTGTTCTCTATTGAGAGGAAACAACAACTCAGAGTGGGTTTCATAGAGTTGCATCAAAAGTTAAATCGAATTTAAAAAGTACAATCAGATTATTATTTTAGGAGGTTGCAAGAGAGTAGAGCAAGACAACGTGTATTTAGAGCTGTAAATCTCAATTTGAGGACGGATTCCCGGAAGATTTCACGATGCAGAGGGCAGTCAAAGACTTGAACGGATTGTCAGGAAAGGTGGCAGAGACCAGGATACGAAATGAAGTTTTTTTTAAAAAATAACTGTTTCATGCAATGACAAGTGACTATGACCTGCGTGTTACGAATGGATGAGACAGATTGCCACAAAGGTCTCCTTCATTCATACTAACCTTGTGATCTTTGTTATTCCATGTAGATACTAGGAACCAGGGACTTCAGTTATGAGTAGGAGCAGGAGAAGCTGATATTATTCTACACAGAGCAGTAAATGTTCAGCGGAGAATAATTACAAGTTTTCAAAATTATGCAGGGCTTCGATATGGTGAACAAGGAAAATTGCTTCAACTGGAAGACGGGTCGGTAACCCGAGGATAACGATATTAAAAAGTTGCTAAAAGAAACAGAGGGTATGTGCGGAGAAATTTTTTTAGTTGTTCGGATCTGCAGTGCATTGCCTGAAAGGGTGTTAGAGGCCGATTGGATGGCAAATTTTAAAAGTGAAGCAGGTATTTATTTGGGGAAAAGAAGTTCGCAACGCTACGGGGAGAGAGCGGGGATGTGAGATTGAGTTGGAAGCTCTTCTAAAATAGTCAAACTTTTGTGCAGTATAATTGTACAGTTCTGTGACTCACTCTTCTGCGTATTTCTGCATTGGAATAACAATTTGTTAATTCGGAACCACTGTGTCTTCAAATGAATGGTATCACATCGATTTTGAGCCGCAGATTCCATGGTGTAAAGGTGAGCACTCTGGACTCTGAATACAGCGATCCGAGTTAAAATCTCGGTGGGACCTGACATTTTGCTTCACTGCCTGAAAGACAACATAACAAGACGGTAAGCAACCATTTCTTTCTGATTTTATCTGACCTTCGAGCAGTAATGTTGTCTGACCCAGGTTAAAGCGGTACATGTTATTTCTTGGGTAGCAGAACTATGAGTGCCTTTGGATTATGCAGCAGTCGCCAAAAGAAAGTATCAGACTTACTGTTGGGATATCAAGGTGGTCATCAGATACTAATATTTCACGGTGATTTATATTTACTCCGAAGGATACAGAAAGAAGATATCGCCACAAAACACCTGGAAGCTGCGTGGCTTAGACTGGAATCAACACAAATCCCTGAATTCAGAACAGTTGCCCAATCTGCAATCTTAAGAAATCAAATTATTTCAGCCTGAATCCTCGTATGAAAACCTTTGAGGAATTTCATGCGTAGGTTATAATCTTCATGGTAGCGGATTGCAGCTCAAAATCATTCGTCAATTACAAAAGTTGCGACTTCAAAAAAGACAGAATTTATGTTTATCAACAACAACGCCGTGTAAGTATCATTCACGGTAAATGCACAGCTTTCGGCCCTTGTAAATCTTATCGATCCCTGAGAAGAGAAACCTTTCGGTGTACAACTAAAGCACAACAAGAATGATTTATTTCACTTCAGCTTGAAAGTTTTACACGAGGGACGTCACGAAGCGCTTTACAGAATATGCTGTAAAATGAAATGACTGTTTTAGTGAATGATCGGGGATGGCAATTGGCGCACAGCCATATCCCGCCAACAACACTGATGTCCATCTCAATAACCAGCCGTGGCCTCGCTTCAACTTCTCGTTGGTGTCTCAGCCAATCCAGCAAACATGTAGCATTGCGGGGATGTCATCTTCCTCCCCAACAACAGGAGATTAGGAACACAACTCTAAGACTATCTCTTTGCCGATGACTAATTTCCAAATTGCCGAGGAAGTGTTTTCCAAAGTTCAGTAGAAGAGGCACCGCTGGGATTGGAACCCACTGAGCTGAGGCTTACAAACAGACACACACACACTGAGCTGAGGCTCACACACACACACACACACACTGAGCTGAGGCTCACACACAGAGACACACACACACACTGAGCTGAGGCTCACACAGAGACACACACACACACTGAGCTGAGGCTCACACACACACGCACAAACACTGAGCTGAGGCTCACATCCACACACACACTGAGCTGAGGCTCACACCCACACACACACACTGAGCTGAGGCTCACACCCACACACACACCGAGTTGAGGCTCTCACACGCACACACTGAGCTGAGGCTCACATACAGACACACACACACTGAGCTGAGGCTCACACACAGACACGCACACAGTGAGCTGAGGCTCACACCCACACACACAGACACACTGAGCTGAGGCTCACACACAGACACACAAACACTGAGCTGAGGTTCACACCCACAAAAACACTGAGCTGAGGCTCACACGCACACACACTGAGCTGAGGTTCACACACACACTGAGCTGAGGTTCACACACACACTGAGCTGAGGTTCACACACACACTGAGCTGAGGTTCACACACACTGAGCTGAGGCTCACACACAGACACACACACACTGAGCTGAGGCTCACACACACACATTGAGATGGGGATCACACCGCCCCAAACGCCATCCCTGCGCCCACAGACGTCACTGGCCCCGCCCCGATTCCGCCCGTCAATGGCCCCGCCCCTATCCCCAACCCTCAGCCTCGCGCCCAGGGACGCCGCTGCGCAGGCGCCGAGTTAAATAAAAACCGTGAGCCTCGCGCTCAGCAGCCGCCGTGAGTACAGCCCTCACACACACCCACACACACACCTTCACACACCCCCACACACACTCTCACACGCACTCTCACGCACCTTCACACACACACACCCACACCTTCACACACACACCGAAACGCGCGCCCCCTCACACACACACCCTCACAACCTCACACACACCGACACACACCCTCACACATACACAAACTCACACACACACCCACACACTCTCACACCCTCACTCACACCCACACCTTCACACACACACCGACACTCTCACATACACAAACTCACACACACACCCACACACTTACACAAACTCACACACACACACACGCTCACACACCTCAAACCACCGCCACACACAACTTACCGCACCAACGTTAACCCCTCCCACCCCCACCCCCGCTTACCTCCCCGCCTTACAGCCGCACCTTACATCCCCCATCCTACCCCTCATCTTACACCCCCACCTTAACCCCCAGCTCACCGCCCACATTACCCCCAAACTTAACCCCGCACTTTAGCCCCCAACGTGACCCCCACCTTACCCCCTTGCTTTAACCCAGCCTTACACCATCTTACACACCCCACACTTTAGCCCCCACCTGACATCCCCATCGTACGTCCCAACAATAAACACCGATCTTACCCCCCAATCTAAACTCCCGCCCTCCCCTACTATTTTACACCCACATGTGACAGGCTCCCAGCTGATACCCCGGCTTAACCCCCACCTTACCGCTTCAGATTACCGCCCATCTTCCTGCCCTGCCTTACCTGTTAACTTACACACAGTTAACATCAGACTACACAGTGGTGCTCCCTGTCACTGTCAGACAGTCAGAACCACTGCACAGTTGAAAGATATTAACCACCATCCGCACCAACAGATACAGGAAGGCATAGATTCAGTGTCAATATCAGACGCTATAGTTTGTTAAAATCATAATGGTCACACGCAGACACTCACACAAAGA